TTTGATAGCGTCCCTTATTTCTTTAGACACCCAAGGCAGATTACAGTCTTTTCTTACAGTCCTTCCTTTTCATTGGAATATACTTTTGCTGAGCACTTTGAAAAATTGCTTTGAAAGTCCTCCACTGCTCGTCAACTGTCCCACCATAAAATCTTTGTTTCAGTTTACTTTAGCCAAGTCCTCCCTCATTCTATTGTAGTTCCCCTTGTTCAAGCACAGGACCCTTGTATTGGATTTTATCTTCACACTCTCCATCTGTATTCTAAATTCAACCATACTGTGATCACTCCTTCCAAGAGGATCCCTAACTATGAGGTCATTAATTATTCCCGTCTCATTACACAGGACCAGATCTAGGATAGCTTGCTCCCGCGTTGGTTCCATTACATACTGTTCAAGAAAACTATCACGGATACACTCAACGAACTCCTCCTCAAGGCTACCCTGGCCGAGCTGGTTCGACCAATCTACATGTAGGTTAAAATCCCCCATGATAATTGCCGTACCATTTTTACAGGCATTAGTTATTTCTTTGTTTATTGCCCGCCCCAATGTGATGTTATTATTTGGTGGCCTATAGACTACGCCCAGTGACTTTTTCCTCTTAGAATTTCTAATTTCCACCCAAACGGATTCAGCCTCATTCTCCATAGAACCTGTATCATCTCTCAGCACCGCCCTGATGGCATCCTTGAATATCAGGGCTACACCACCTCCCTTAACTTCCTGTCTGTCCTTCCGAATAGTCTGGTACCCTTGGATATTTAACTCCCAGTCATGACCATCCTGTAACCATGTCTCCGAAATGGCTACCAAATCATATTCATTCGTGATGATTTGTGCCGTTAACTCATCAACCTTGTTACGAATGCTACGAGCATTCAGGTAAAGTGCCTTTATGCTAGCTTTCTTACCCTCATGATTTCCAACATCTCTAATAATATCTCCGGAGTTATCCTTCCTGTTTGCTTCTTTCATAGTCTGCCTTGAACTTAAACCCTCCTGCACACATGCTAACCTGCTGTTTACCCTTTTATTTACCATCATACTCCCTGTTGTTTTCCCTTTCCCTTTCCCCCAACTCACTAGTTTAAAGTCCTAGTGACCACCCTATTTATCCTTTTCGCTAGAACACTGGTTCCAGATCGGTTCAGGTGGAGACCGTCCCATCGGTACAGATCCCTCCGGTTCCAAAACTGATGCCAATGCCCCATGAAATGGAACCCCTCTTTCCCACACCACTCCCTTAGCCACGTGTTTACTTCCCTAATTTTCTTATCCCTAAGCCAATTTGCACGTGGCTCGGGCAGTAATCCGGAAATTATGACCCTCGAGGACCTGTTCCTTAATTTCGTTCCTAGTGCTTGATAATCCCCAAACAGGTCCTCCATCCTAGCCTTGCCTATGTTGTTAGTCCCAACTTGGACCACAACAACTGGATCCTCCCCCTCCCGCTCCAATATCCTTTCAAGCCGGTCAGAGATGTCCTGCACCCTGGCACCGGGCAGGCAACACACCATGCGGGTCTCCCAATCCGGCTTGCAAAGGATACTATCTATCCCCCTAACGATAGAATCCCCTATAACTACCACTTGTCTATTTGCTTGCCCCTCTTGAATGGCCTTCTGCACCATGGTGCCGCAGTGAGCTGGCTCATCCTCCCTGCAGTCCTTTTCCTCATCCACACAGGGAGCAAATATCTCGTACCTGGTGGATAAGGTCAAAAGCTGAGGCTCCTCCACTCCTGAACTCAGGATCCCCCTACCTGCCTCACTTGCAGTCACACACTGTTGTCCCTGATCACTAACTGCGTTTGAATTACTTAATCTACCAGGTGTGACTGCCTCCTGAAACAAAGCGTCCAGGTAACTCTCCCCCTCCCGGATGTGCCGCAGTGTTTGAAGCTCAGATTCCAGATCTTCAACTCTGAGCCGGAGTTCTTCCAGCAACCAACACTTGCTGCAGATGTGGTCACTGCCATTCACAATGGGATCAGCCAGCTCCCACATCATACAGGTACAGCACATCACCTGCCCAGCCATCTCTATTTAGTTAATTACTTTATTACTTTATCTCAATTTATGAGTTAAATACTTTCTAATACTTCTCTGCTATGGTCCTTTCAAATAACCAATTAATATATAAATAAAATGAACCAATCAAACTCAGTCTGTTTCCTCTTTTGAACATTAATTTGAGGTCCTACATTACCAGCAGAGTGGTAATACCGCCTTCCTTCGAACTCAGTCATTTTTCATATTTCCAGAAGTGTGCTTATACGCAACTAAATCTTTTTTTTCCCATCACCAAATCTATTACCCAATCATTACCAAACCTCCCATCTATTAACCACCAACCACAAGTAAATCACCCATGTTTTCCAAACAATTAATTTGCAATAAGCCCATTAAGGGGAACAAGCTGAACCCTTAAATATAAGCTCCAACGATCATCTGCGCAGCACGGTGGCTCAGTGGTTAGCACTGCTGCCTCATAGCGCCAGGGATCCCAGTTTGATTCCTTAGGTGACTGACTGTGTGAAGTTTGCATGTTCTGCCCGTCTTTTGCTGTGGTCTCCTCCCACAGTCGGAAGATGTGTAGGCTAGGTGGGTCGGCCATGGTAGATGTGGCGTTACAGGGATAGGGTAGGGGGCTGAGTCTAAGTGGACAGCTCTTCAGAGAGTCAGTGTGGACTCAATGGACTGTTCCCACACTGTAGGAATTCTACAATCATCAATGCTATCTTTGATCTCTGGATCACATCCTGTTTCATTCTTAGAAGTACCATCATCTCCAACATGGTGACTTGTTCTGTAAGTACATAGAATCAAACCAGGAGTTCCTAGATTTTAATCCAAGGATGATGAAGGGATGATGACATATTTCTGAGTTTAACTGGGTGGTGACTTGCAGTTGGTAGTGTTCCAAGGAGCTTGCTTTCTATGTGATAGAGCTTGCGAGTTTTTGGAGGTGCTGCAAAGGATCACCATGACTAAGTACGATACTTCCTCCTTTCCTTCTTGAACCTTCTGCAAAATACGAAAAGAAAAGACCATCGTCATTAAGCGGAGAGAGAAAAAGAAATACTCTGGAAAATTCTCCTTGATTCCCTTCAGGGCAATTGAATCCAGTCCAGAAGATGAGTATCTATCAGATCAGATTGGAGCAGTTACAAACAGCCATAATTCTGATCATGAATTTTAGCTTAACTGTGGAAAAAGGCAAAGAACAGATAACAAATTTAACTGGAGAAGGTCCAATTTGTGAAAACACAAATAAATTGGAACAGGAAAATACAGGAAGGCAAGAGAAAAATCATATTTCAGCTCAAAAGACATAGCAGTCAGTAAGTAGTGAAAGGTGCAAATTGCAGATGTCATGTTGATAATAAAAGTGACATCCAGGTTGAATGTAGAAAGCTCTGAAGAGGAGGAGTGGAAAAGAAAATGAGCGGTACAACGACAATGCAATACAGAAGTGTTTTATAGGCATATAAATAGTCAAAGGCAGGTAAGAAGAGGACAGCAGTGAGGTTTCTCTTCATTGGTGGTTATCTACTATTTATAGTCTTTAGTTTTAGACAGCTTCACAAGCGACAGTACCTTCTCCACTGATACCTTTCCTAATTTAAAGACCACTATTGGGTCAATGCTCCTTTTGTTCAATGCGACAAGGAGTTCAGTTTTTACCAATAGACCTAACCATAGGGTTCTGCTATGGTTCCAGTCAATCATTTTTTATGCACCCTTCATATTGAAGCCCTACAGTGTGGAAGCAGGCCATTCAGCCCACACCAACCCACTGAAGAGCATCCCGCCCAGACCCAGCCCCCTAACCTATCCCTGCATTTCCAATGGCTAACCCCGCTAAGCCTGCACATCCCAAGGGCACTGTGGAGAATTTAGCATGGCCAGTCCATCTAACCTGCACATCTTTGGACTGCGGGAGGAAACCCACGCAGATGCAGGGAGAATGCACAAACTCCACACAGAGTGTACAATCGAACCCGAGTCCCTGGCACTGCGAGACAGCAGTGCTAACCGCTGAGCCACCTTCTTTATTTCTCTTTGCAATTCCAGTGATATGGGGACTAGCAGCATACAGTTTTCCAAGTGCATTGATGTAGGAATAAGGAGGAGGCCATTCAGCCCCTTGAGCTTGTTCTGCCATTCTATGAGATCATGGCTGACCTGTGGTTTAACTGTATATACCTGGCTTGTTTTGCGGTTATCACATTGCTGCTTGTGGAATCTTGCTGTGCGCAAGTCAGCCGTCACACATACCCTGCATTAGAACAGTGGCCGTGCTTCAAAAGGCACTACATGTTTGCTTGACAAAAATGCATTGATTGTAGATTTAAAATGAACAATTAAGGTTCAATAAGGTAGCCCCTTGCCTATTTCAGGAATGGCACAGTTGGGAAACTGGGAGAGTTTACATTAGACGAAGGGAAATGAATACAACAATGTCTTAACTCCAAATGGTTTTCAGAAGCCAGGTTGTAAAAGTGAGGTTCCTAGAACTGCAATATGCACTTCAATATGATTTCAGGAGAGAAAATTGTGAAAACTAAAATCCAGGAAAGTGGCATTGTGGAAAAAAAAAATCTGTTGCAACTTGAGCTGGTGTTGGAAGGGATCTTGTTTATTAATCAATTCCTGGCTATGTAATTTGAGAGAGAGAGAGATAGACAGTGAAGGAAAAAGATAAACATCTTGTTTAAGCTATAAAAGGAGGGAAAAAACATTATCATGACATGTAGATTCCTGGCCGAGTGCCTGCACATTCATAGCTTCATTGGTGGGCCTGTCACTTACTCTGAAATTTGGGAAAAAGTAATCGTTTACTTTTTTTCCAAGGATTGTAGGTAGAGGGAGGTGTGAGAGGAGTCAGAGGGATGTGGACCAATCACAGCTCTGAGGCTTTGCTCAAGGGAGGAGGCAGGCTCAGTATTAATAAGCTTGCTCTGACACCTCACTGTTCAGAGAGTGATTCTTTCGTTCTACTGTTGTAAGTTGCAATTGTTTTGCAAACGCAGAGCACCATGTGTCTGGGCTGTCGTCACCCATGGCTAATGGCAGACGTGAACCAGGGCTTCCCAACGAAACCATCTGGCAGCACAAGGCTGACCAGGCAGAGGAGCACTGAGCCCGAGATCTTCACCTTTGACATCCCACCAAGGGTCAAACACACCCTGGACGCCAACCCCCGACTGCGAGCCAGGCGCCGACCCGTCAAAATCCTCTACCCGGCCCAGGTATGTATAGTCAACCCGTGGTCTGGATAACAGACAGGGATCTGAGCAGGTCGCTTCTCCTATTAAGGCAGGACTTAACGTGACAGTTTCGCTTTGGAAACTGGGCCAAAAACCAAAAATGCCACAAAAGGCAGCAATCTCCGGGCCTATGAGTGACAAATCCCACCAGTTCGCCTTTGCTAATGTTTGAGGGCCAATTAAATGGTCCTCATTTGTGGCATGGTGGTAGCGTCCCTACCTCTTAACGGGGAGAACCATGTTAAAGTCCAGTTGTGTGTGTGTGTGTGTGTAATAGCATCACTCAACAGGTTAATCGGGAAATTTTCTGAAACGAGTACAAAATCTGAGAAAAAGAAACTGAACTTATTATGGTGGCTGTATTTGAATCAAAAGGAGAATGTGTGTGTATATCTGTCTGTCATATTAATTTTAAAGAATGGAGTTGGCTGACCGCTTATTTTTGGCCTTTTAAGGAAATGTGATAATGCAGAGGGAGAGTGAGAGGGTCTTTTGGATACATCCTGTTTGCAACAGCGAGAGACTGGTTGATAGCCCCAGTGCGGTACTGAGCTCATGTTGATTTAAAGCCCAGGTTGTCTCAGATTGCCTTCCATGCAGGCAGCTGCAATCTGGAACAGATGATCGGGTGGTTATCACATTGCTGCTTGTGGAATCTTGCCGCAAGTCAGCTGTCACACATACCCTGCATTAGAACAGTGCCTGTGCTTCAAAAAGCACTTCATTGGGTGCAGAGCTTTCTGACGTTTTACAAATTCAAGGCCTTTCCTCCCTTCTTTCACCTTTGCTAACCCCTTTCTGTTTTGTCCATGCCCAGGTCAGGAAGTACTTGCCCCCTGAGGAGAAGGACTGGGCCAAGAGGATGCTCCTGCTCTTCCTGTGTGTGGTGACGGTCCAAGTGTACGCGGCCGCAGCGGAGGCTCAAGAGGGAACGGTCGACGTGATCGCCCAGGCAGGAGGGCCAGGCGGCTCGCAGCCCAACCTCAGCAGGGAGCGGGCACCGGGGCTCCCACCCTCAGGTGGGGAAATGTTCAGGCCCGCCAACGGCAGTGCGCCGCTGCTGTCAAAGATGCCCGATGGCGCCAGCCTGGCGGTGACTGTTGTGTGCCACAGAATGGGCTCCAGATCTATTGCCTGCAGAATGTGAACCAACCTTCCTCGTGGCAGGACACTTTCCAGATGGCATCACCTCACCCGCGACCTCTGGTTCAGGGAAAGTTTGAACACCCCAACTGGTACGTCCGATGAAAAGAAGGTGCAAGATCTGCCAAGTTCTGGAGCGGTCAAAAGGACACTAGAAATCTCAACTTATTCTCAAGTGGACAAGCCTTATGGCTCTCCAGGGGTTGACCAGAGAATGTCCAATCAGCCTTATGTAAATTCAGCTAATTGTGTGTGTCAGCCTGGTTATCCACTTGTAAATGTTCTCCAACTGGGGACGGAAAGGTATTCATTTTTCTCCATTAGCACCTGGGGTTTTCATATCAGAAGGTAACTTCTGTTGAGTATCAAGGACAGAGACAATAAACTTGACTATTTATCACCTTACTATTTGAGCAGTGACCAATCTACACCTTTATTCCTATAGTGTGCCTAATATCTAAAATCTATACTTTATCACAATTGTATATTTATGTTATGTAAAAGCTTGCTGCGCAAGCAAATTGATGAATGTTCTGTGAGAATGAAATGTTTGAAAAAAAGGAACAATTAGAGTACACTCTGTGGACTTGTGTGTAATTATATTGAATGACAATGTAATTACATTGACAAACAACCTGTAAACTGTGATTATCGTTAATTGAGTATGTTCTGTGAACAGCCATTAATAAATCATATTTATAATGAACTCATTTGTGTTTCCTTGTTAGGTACCAATTACTACATTGCAAAATTTAAGAGGGGAGATTTTGTCAGTAATATCTGAATGCGAAAGGATGCCTCAAACTTCCTTCTTCCTCCTCAACATTTTCCACTTTCTTTCATCCTGCTATTTCTACATCATGTTGAAATCAGTCATTGTCAGACTGGTTTCTTGTGCAACTCAATCTTCCCATGGACCTGGACCAGTGGAACTCCTAACCAAGTAACCTCTCATTTCGGCATTTCCTGCTGAAACATTTTTCAGTTTAAATGAGGCAGATTACAACTTAATTCATAGCATATGGAGTCATAGAGTTGTACAGTGTGGTTGCAGACTCTTCAGTCCAACTTGTCCATGCCAACCAGATATCCTGAATTAATTTAGTCCCATATGCCAGCATTTGGCCCATATCCCTCTAAACACTTTCCTATTCATGTATACATCCAGATGCCTTTTAAATATTGTACCAGCCTGCACCACTTCCTCTGGCTGCTCATTCCATACACGCACCACCCTCTGTGTGAAAAAGTTGCCCCTTTGGTCCCTTTTAACTCCTTCACCTCTCACCTTAAACTTACGCCCTCTAGTTTTGGACTCCCCTATCGTGGGCAAAAGACTTTGGCTATTCACCCTATCCATGCCCCTCATGTTTTTATTAACCTCTATAAGGTCACCCCTCAGCCTCTGATGCTCCAGGGAAAATAGCCCCAGCCTATTCAGCCTCTCCCTAAAGCTCAAACCCTCCAGCCCTGGCAACATCCTCGTAAATCTTTGCTGAACCCTTTAAGTTTCACAACATCCTTCCTATAATAGGGAGACCAGAATTGGAAGCAGTATTCCAAAAGTGGCCTAACCAATGTCCTGTACGGCCACAACATGACCTCCCAACTCCGATGCTCAATGCACTGACCAGTGAAGGCAAGCGTACCAAACGCCTTCTTCACTATCCTATCCATCAGTGGCTCCACTTTCAAGGAGCTATGAACCTGCACTCCAAAGTCTGTTTGCTTGGCAATGGTCCCTAGTATCTTACCATTAAGTGTATAAGTCCTGCCCTGATTTGCCTTTCCAAAATGCAGCACCTCACATTTATCTAAATTAAACTCCATCTGTCACTCCTCGACCCATTAGCCCATCTGACCAAGGTCCTGTTATACTCTGAGGTAACCTTCTTGGCTGACCACTACACCATCAATTTCAGTGTCATCTGCAAACTTGCCAACAATCCCTCCTATGTTCACATCCAAATCATTTATATCAATGACAAAAAGCAGTGAACCCAGCACTGATCCTTGTGGCGCACCGCTGGTCACAGCTCTCCAGTCTGAAAAACAACCCTCCACCAAAACCCTCTGTCTTCTACCTTTCAGCCAGTTCTGTATCCACATGGCCAGTTCTCCCTGTACTCAATGTGAACTAACCTTGCTAATCAGTCCTGCCATGTGGAACCTTGTCAAACACCTTACTGAAGTCCATAGAGATCACATCCACCATTCTGCCTTCATCAGGTATATCTTCAGGAATGGATTATTTGATCAGTTACAAGCTGGAAATGAATTGAGTCTCCAGGTGGTTTATATATAGAAAGTAAATCTCCAAGAATCTCTTACAGTCTGGAATCTAATGGGGGAGTTCAGATTGTTTATGTATAGAATGATGGATATTTGGGAGTGAGGTACAGATTAGAATCTAATCGAGGGGTTCAAATGATTTGTATATAGAATAATGGATACCCGGAAATGACATCTAATTAAGGCATTCTGCTGGTTTACATACTTAAGAAATACCGAGGAATGAATTTCACTGCAAGCGGTTCAGATTGTTTATATATAGAACAGGAGCAAGTTACACGTTGCAATCTAAATGTGGAGATCTAATAGTTTATATCTACAATAATGTATACCTTGGAGTGAGTTGCAGACTGAAACCACCTCGAGGTATTTCTAATTAATCTTTCCATGTTGTAATATTGGGTTAAACTCTGACTTTAAACTCCCAAAATCAATCCCAGTTGTTTCCCACCTGGTGAGTTTGGTTATGCATTACTGCCAGTGGGTTTCATACAGATTGCAATCTCATGGGATTTTCTGATTTGTTATGAACTGGGATTCTGCTAAACACAAATCTACCCTTCTTTTGTCCATAAAACAACTCTTACGTGGCAAATTTATGAATTGCAAATCAGGTACTTGGGGGATATTTCTGATCAACATTAAAAACCAACGTGATGTTGCCCCTAATGGGAAGGCAGACTTTATTTTTTATTCATTGATGCGATGAGGACATCACTGGCTACGTCAGCATTTATATTGCCCACCCCTAATTGACCAGGCCATAGTTAAAAGTCAACCACATTGCTGTGGGTCTGGAGGCCACGTAGGCCAGGCCAGGTAAGGATGACAGATTTCCTTTCCTAAAAGAAATTAGTGAGCCAGATGGCATTTTCCCTGATTCAGCAATGGATTCACTGTCATTAATTCCAGATTTCTGTTTTGAGTTCAAATTCAACCACCTACTGTGGCAGGGTTTGAACCTAGGTCCCCAAGACATTACCTGGGTCTCTGGATCAACAGTCCAGTGATAATATACTAGGCCCTTTGTGATACACTTCAGTGTGATGGTCAGCATGCAATGTTCAGAGTGTGTTGGTTAGAATGCCGTTATTACAGTGTTATATTGGCATATTGCTATGATTATGGTACAATGATTGCATTGTGAAGGTGACAGCGTGATTGCTACAGTGTGATGATTATGAAATAACTCTACAGAGGCCGGTATCCTGTCACCAAGTCACCCTTTATTTACACATGCAGAGCCCTCAACACTGATCTAACTCCCTCAGAGTCAGCCCTCAGAGTGAACAGAACCCCTGACACTCCTGTTTCTATCTGTCAGCCAGGGCTCCCTGATTGGACCAGATTAACAACCCCAAACAGGGAGCTCAGAGTCTATGATGTCTACATGGCTGACCTCATTACAATCACCACATCCCTCCCCCTCTGAGTCCGAGGGCATAGGCCAGTTCCTCTTTATTTGTTGCTTCTCTTGGGGAGTTTCAGCACTGAGTCAGGTTTCTCCAACTCTGCTTCTGATGCCGACAGCGTGTAACACACAGTAGCTTGCCTCTTGCTCCTGGAGTGTCTCGGAAGAAATTCATCCTCCTCTTCAGGTGGCAAAGGCGTCAAAGCAGCAGCATCCGCTATGTCCATCTCACATTCCAGGGAATCTGCAACACCTGACGGAGAGGGAGAACCCATGAGTTCCAGAGCAGTCGGAAAGACTGTCGAGGAGTCAGGCACAGCTTGCACCTGAACTGTTTGCGAGTTTCCAGCTTTCGCATGGCCCATGTGCTTGTTCAGGATCATCTCCCCTACCCCAACTTTATACCTCAATTAACCTGACCTCGCGTTGACCATGCCTCTTACCCATGCAGGGCCATTCCCGTGGTTCCTAGGTCAAACTTCATCCCTTGAAGTAATCTGTCTCTCTCACTTAGCGGAGTCCTGTGTCCAGCATTGGCGTTCCCGATGCCATTTCACCCTCCCCCCTTCCCTCTTGGCCTGTTATCTGTGGCCAACGCTTCCGGGAGCCTGTGTCCTGCAAAAGGTACTTGCAGCTTTTCTGCCGTCTTTCCCCGTGTTTGACGAATGGACTCTGTGCATGCCCAGACTCTTTGAGTGAGCGTCCGCAAAGACTAAAGACGTTGAGCCCATGAAAGGACCTGCACAGTCAACGTGTAACTGACTGGGGTTTACCCGGCCATCCCCGAGAACACAGAGGAGCTGCTGGCACTAATGTTTTCCCTTGTTGGCATTGCCCCACCAATGCAGCTGTGTCGGCATCCAATCCTGGCGACCAGATGTAACTTGTTGCCAAAATGCTTCATTTTGGAAGCCCCTGGTGGAGTTCAGCCTGTATCTGGTGGTGACCATTGCTCAGGACAATCATTCTTGCTTCCTGTAATAATATGCCATCCTCTTCTGTGATCTTATCCATCTGGGTCCAGAAGGTTTTCATTTCTGGTTGTGACTGTCCTTTGGTTTCTCCCATCGCTACCAGCTGTTTCAGTTTTGCCAGAATGGGATCTTTCTGTGTCCAAAGTCTGATATTGTCCGCTGTGACTAGAAGTTTATTTGAAAAATTTGAAACTACTATGGACTCTTCCAATGGCGTTACCACTAGGGGTGTATCTGCCAGAGGAGGTGGATCAATGCATCCGCATTTGCTGCTTGGCCTCCCACACAGTGTTCCAACTTGTAATTATATGCACTTAGTATTAGAGCCCACCACTGAATTCAGCCTGAAGCTGTGGGCGACACTGTCTTGTCCTCTTTAAGTAGACCTAATCAGGGTTTGTGGTCTGTTATTATTACAAATTTACATCCGTAAAGATATTGGCAGAACTTCCTGACTCCAAATATGACTGCCAAACCTTCCTTCCTTCACTATCTTAGTGTATTTAAACTCTGCATTAGCAAAAGCCCTGGATACATACACGATTGGATGTTCCTCTCCATTGGGCCACCTATGAGCAAATATTACCCCGATGTTGTACGAGGAGGTATCACGCATCAATATCAGACCTTGCTTGGGATCAGAGTGTGCCAACACCCGACAGGATGATAGCGTCCCTGAAAGCTATGGCTTGGCTACCTGACCATTTCCAAAGCTGGCCCTTTTTTAAGAGTCGGCGCAAAGGTACCAGGATGGAGGCTGGGTTATGTACCAACTTTCTGTAATAATTTGCCAGCCCAAGGAAAGACCGAAGCTCCTCGACAGACCTGGGAGCCGCAACACCTTTGATCACCCTCATTTTATCTTCCTGCAGGTTTAACCCGGTTTTGTCAACTCTGTAGCCCAAGTAGGTCATTTGGGGGGCCTTTTTTCCACATTTTTCCTTCCCAAGGTAT